TGCTTCTGAGTTTTTACGTGTTGTACGTGCTTTGTCTGCGTAGGTGTATTTTGTATTCTTAGTTTTGTTACCCTTTTGAGTTCATTAAAGCTGTTTTGAGTTACTTTCTGTCTCCAGAGTCTGCACTTTGGGTCCTTCTCCTGCCTGCACACAGCTGTCACATAACAGATAAGTGTGAAGTTTATTTTGAGATCAACATTTTGTAAAGATTGTTTGTATTTTAGGAGAAATACTGTTGTAATTTGTGGGATATAGTTTTTGAGCAGGATCTTTAGAAACACACTTAGGGTTTTTGGGGTTAATAATTTGTTTGTTGATATCAAGATGCAAAGAGATGACATGAAAGTAACAGGTGTTATATCAGAACTGGATCCAGCAGAAATGTATTAACCTGTTAATGTGGGGGTTTTTTTGTTTTTTGTTTTCAGAATGGCTTTGATGAAATTAATTGGGAACTGGCCTGAGATGCCTTACTTCCAGCCCCCACCATTACATATTCGGGCTTTGAAAATGTGTGATCAGCTCAGGGTGATCACCTGGGATGTGAAAGAGGGAGAGGCTAAACCACTCATTGCAAAGCTTAAAAAGCTGGCAGCCATCATTGATGGGGAGATGGTACTAAAAATAACAAAGTTTAATGAGTTCTCAAAAGTCCAAGAGGGGGTCTCGTATATGATTGTGGGTATGAACTGAGAGGCCCAGCTACTCCTTATGTGATAAATGGTAAATGGCCTGCATTTGTATAGTGCTTTTCTAGTCCTTAAGGACCCCAAAGCGCTTTACACTACATTCAGTCATTCACCCATTCACACACTGGGGATGGCAAGCTACATTGTAGCCCGGACACTGCCGGGCCCTCTGACCACCACCAGTAGGCAAATATGGGGTTAGTATCTTGCCCAAGGATATTTGGCATGCAGCCAGGAGGCAGCCTAGGATCGAACCACCGACCTTCTGATTAGTGGCTGACCTGCTCTGCCACCTGAGCTACAGCCACCCAATATCACTGCGGACCCAGATTTTCAGGGCACCTGCCCTTCCAGTTGCAGAAAATCTTTTTGCAAAAGCGGGGGATCTTCCGCACTCTCCTGCCCCTGTAATGAGTCTGAAGATGAGCTCAACCGCAGGGGGTTTATGACAGTACAAGGGGCGGTCGTGGAGGTAAGTATTTGTCGTTCTATCAGAATTGATATTGGTTTAGGTTTTCAAAGAAATAATTTTTATTTATTTACAAGTAAAAATATTTTTTGGCGTCCAACAAACACTAAATTGTGAGAATATGATCATCACTATTATTTTGTCATTTGCATTTCAAGTGTTGCAAGTGTTTTAGAAAATTATTAAATGTATTATATATCCAAGGATTTTGTACATGGTGTTTGTAGAATTTTCATCAAAAAAAACAATAACAGAATATAAACAGAGTATTGAAGAAAGAAAGTGCTGTCACAGATGTATACATTCACTGTAAGTGATATTATATGTAATGCACTTTACTATGTTCTGCAGTGAGGAAGATGCTCTCAGGGAAACAAGAAGTTCCCATAAGAAATCTGCAGCTAAAGCAGGTAATGGTGCAACTGAAGTGTGATACCAAAAGCAGTGAAAGTAAATGTGTCATGTTTGAGATTGGTGGTCGAGCAGCAGATTGTATTAGGTCATGGCTTTGATTTTGGTACTAAGTGACCTTTTTGTATTACTAATGAGCAAATGTTGTGTAGTTTGTGTGGTGTCAGGATGGTTACACCGTGGGAGTCTGAATGTGGGGCGTGGCAGCTATTGAGCAGTGTCATGTGGGAGACCAAATAAAGGTTTCTCATGTAAAGGTGAAACAGTCTACCAATGGACTAGAGCTGCACACAACGTCTTTTACAAAGATTGGGGTATGAAGAAGCTATAAGTTTGTATCAACATGTAATAGCAATGTGATGTGAACACAATGTCTACAATTATGGTTTTGAAATGTTGATACATACCAGGTTACTGTAGGTGAAAATATGACATAATAGTCTATATATTGTATAATGTTGCACACACTCACACACACGTGTGTGTGTGTGTGTGTGTGTGTGTATGTGTTTGTGTAAGATAACATAATGTGTTATGTGTGAGAGGTGGGGATTTAGGGAGAACGTGTATTGTATTGAACGTGAGAACCATATTGTAGTTGTTTTTGGATGAAAAAAGGTAAAGGTTACAATGCTAAGTAGTTTCTTGTGTTTTGACAGACAAAAGAAGACAGACTGACGTGACTGTATTGGTGTTACTGACACGTCCAGTCAGATGGAGCTACTGTTAGAAAGTGGAGAAACCCTGCATATTGAAACAGATGTGGAGGCCATTTGATAAAGATCTGGAAAAGGCCATGGTTAGTGTTTAGATAAAAGTCAAAGGCAAGCATATTACTGAAATGGAAAAAACAGATTGTCAGTAGTGAAAGAAAAGCATTTGTGATTTTGTGTGTGTTAAGTGTTCTGTAAAATACATCACAGATCCACAGATCACAGATTACAACAAGTTTACAACGGTTTGAAAAAGTTATAGTTTAAAGAGGTTTTAAAAGTGTATTGTTTATATGAACAAAATATTAATAAAGAGTTGTAAATACATACAACAGTGTTGTGTTTATGAAATGAAACTGAAAAGCATGGTTAATACAACATGTTTTAAGGAACATTTCTACTCCAGGTTGTGTACATATTTACAAATGTCATCTTTAAGGGCTATTAACACAGAAAATTAGGTAAAGTATAGAAAACATTTGTTTGTCAAAGGTTAATGTTTTATTTAGTAAATAATAAATAGGCAGTTGCATCCAAAATATGTTGTTCTGTATATTTAAAGAAGGTAAAAAATGTCTTGTATTATTTGTTGTTGCATGCCTGGTGTTGTAATGCTTGGTTCAAAAAATTATGTAAGGGCAAAATGATGAAGGCACAATTTTCTGGAAA